GAGGGAGAGGGAGAGGGAGACAGAGAAAGAGAGAGCAAGGGGAAAGAACAGGAGGAGAAAGAACGGAGAACGGAGGGGGACAGGAGACAGGGAGGGGAAAGAGAGAACTTCCTCCTAAGAACCATACCCCAAGGCTCCTATTCGTCTACTCCTCACCTTCCGTCCTCTACTTACTATTAGCTCTTGCATCTCTTCCGTTCGCGCGGTGAGGGGAAGGGAGGGGGAGAAGGAGGAGGGAGAAATAAGAGAGCATGATACAGAGCAGAAAAAAAGCAACATAGAGCTCAGACGAGCACAGAGATGAGAGCGAGAGGAATGGAGAGGGCAAAAAGCGGAGGGGGAAAGAAAGAACAACAGGTAGAGGTAGGAGAGGAGACAGGGCCAAGAGGAAGAAAAGAAGGGAGTAAAAGAGGAGGAGAAGAGAGGACGACGGGTAGAGAGAAAATGAGACCAGGAGACGAAGAGGTGAGAGGGGAAGACAGGGATGGCGGGGAGGACGGGGAGACAAACCGCAAAGCGCAGGAGGAGAGGAGGGAGAGAGAAAGATGGAGGGAGGGGGGGGGGGGGGGGAGGAGGCGGGTGGACGGCAGTGTGGAAGAGAGAAGCGCGATAGCCGAAGGAAAGACAGCTGGAGACCCAACGAAGAGACAACCGCACTCACAACATGTAAATGAATGGCTGTGAAGAATACAATCACAGTCAATCAGAGATTGAACGGAAGCTGGAAGCGTCGCTGGTGATGATGGTTCACGGAAGAATAAGCGGGGGACAGCCGTTAAGAATGGGAATGAATTCAGTACACACAGGAACGAGAGAAGAAGAGCCTCAAATACTTCCCCCCCTCTCTTTGACAAAATACAAGTGACGAAGCCGCGACGCGTATGGCGTCATGATGGTGTCACGTTGACCGCATGAGCGGACAAATCCCAAAACGGAACAGGGCAACTAACACAAATCTCCCGTTAACCATGACGACGCCGAATACAGCGTGGACAAATCCCAAAACGGAACAGGGCAACTAGCACAAAAATACGATCATCTCCCGTTAACCATGACGACGCGGAATAGAACGTGACAAAGAGATTGCGCGACCGGAGTTCCGTGTGCAGGATAACCTTTTATCATTTTCCTTCGACCGAAACCGTTCTACAAAACATGTCAAAACAGGGGAAAGGACGAAAAGCCATCGACCTCTTCTACAAGACTCAGGAAGGCTAATCACACACACACACGCACACACACACACGACCTCCCGATGAGTCGGTGAAAGTCCGACGAAACAGCCTGTTCAGCACAGTCATCCTTTTTTTTAGTGTATAGCGAATATCACAACACACACACACGCACAAACACATACGCACGAAAACACACAAACACAAAAAACACACAAACACACACACACACAAACACATACGCACGAAAACACACAAACACAAAAACACAAACACACACACACACAAACACACACACATACACACACACACACACAGATACGCATAAACACACACACAAATGCACGAACGCTCTCACGCACACAAACACACACACGCGCGCGCGCAGACAAACGCATACGCACACACACATTCAACCTCTTAATGAGTCGGTGAAAGTCCGAAAAACCAATCTAGCACAGATGCTTTTTGTGCGGAGTTGTGTATAGCGACCACGACAACACACACACCAGTGGAGCGTGCGTTCAGAAGCTAACAGGAGGCTGTCAACAGCCGCAGAGGATATCAGATCATCGTTGGTTTCCATAGTTTTCGGACTCGGCTCACAGCATCATAGGGCATCGCTACACTACTCCACATGCACAAACGACAGAAATCATGGCGGTGTATCTTTCCATGTTCTAGCGGAAGATTCACTCTCGTTTTGCACATTTGGAGAGTAGAGGAGCGAGGCCCATAGTCACACTGACACTATCCTGCATGCATAGAGGCATTGATGCGGCCAGATTCAGATGACAACAACCTAAGCCTGAGTACACACGCACACATTCATGGCGAGTCCAGTCGGTCAAACAGCGCAATACCGATGTAAGAATTAGATATTGAAAACCTGCAAAACCGAAAACTCCCTGCAAAACCGAAAACTCTGATTTCGTCTTATTCGTCTCCATAATATTTAATTAATAAACGACGCAAAAACGCAACACAACTCAACAGACAAACAGAGCACAAGAGCGCGGGAAACGAGGCGAGCTCACTAAAATAAACGAGACAAGCAAAAGAGTGCGCGCTGGTACTCAGGAGCATCCAACCCAGCAAATCAATAGACAGCTAATCAGCCTGAAGACAGATAACCTCTTGGAAAAAAAAAAAAAAAAAAAAAAAAAGCGCAGCGCCGCTATTATTATTACCACATTGTTTTCCGTCGTCGGATGGAACAAGAGTTATACTAAGATGATGTGTTCTTTACCCTACGCGCGACTTTTTTTTTTTTTTTTTTTAAATGCAAGCGAGTTTTCACCGTGTAGTCCATAAAAACCGTTATTATTATAAAAAAGACATCAAAAAGAAAAACGGTTATTACTGCATGCAAACGTACCAAGCCTCATCTACCCTAACGGCATGGCACAAGTAGAGAGTCAAAAGCGATTTCCTCCCCCTTCCTTTCGCCCTCCTCCTCACTTACCCACCACTCTTAACTTCGCTCGAGAGTTACGTTCAAGTCTACATCACACCATGACATGACACTCCACAGTAGCAGTATCTTCATCTCCAGCTCCCCCCCTCTCTCTCTCTTCGTCCGAAGGGAACAAAAGCCCACACCTTTCGGGAGAAGGCGCTAACCCGCAGCGCAATGCAATTCGCTCCTCCCCTCCCTCTTCTTCTCTTCTGCGCCAGCTATACACCCCGTAGGTTATCGGCCGTTGGAATCCGCCGCGCTGCTGTTGCCATTCAGCGCCAACGCGTGCGCATACTCGCGCAAATCTCCGACGACATGGCGCATGTATCTCCGCCGCTGACTGAGCGCGCGCGCATTGAGCGTGGAGTTCCGCTTTTCCGCTTAACTGCCGCTCGTCTCGAAAAACAAACCATGACCTTCTCCTCTCCGCTCGCCCGGAAGAACCAACCCTATCCTTCTCCTCTCGCGTCATAGGATTGGGATGTCTCGTATCCTTCTCCTCTCACTGTGAGATATCTCTCATGCGGCGCAGAGAGGAGCGTTTACAGTCGTCCCCTCGTTGAGGGGCGCGGAGCCTTCATGTAGCCATCATCATGCTTAAACTTCCGCTTCCTCGGCTCTTGTTTTGCGCCGTTTGCGCTCCTTCTCCCAATTGCGTGTGTGCTTCATGAGTGCCTCTGGCCCTCCCTTCTCCCCATTGTTTTTGCGCCTCTGCTCGGTTCATCTGCACGGAATCTTCATAGCAACTCTAGTCCCCTCCCATTAGCTATGAAGACAGCCTCGATACCATCGTCCCGTTCTCCCTAACACAAAGCACGCTCATCCCGACTGTATTGAACGGGAAAATTAGCTTGTATTCATTCATGATCAGCGGGCGTTGTGTTCGGAGGAAGACGGTAGTCTACCTCCGCTTGATAGCTCCGTCCTCTTCTTCCGCTCCTTCCCGCCATCATCCCTCTCTTCGCGCCGCCTAGCCGTTCCTCGCGGAACCGCGGACGCGCGCGGAGTGCGTTCCCTTCCGCTCCTCTCGATGCTTCAAGACCCTTAGCAACTCACCCCCCCCTTTTCATCCCCTCTGTCCCCCCCCTCCCTCCCCTCCTCCTCTCCCACCCAATCTACTCCTCTCTCCGCATATGCACAGAAACCTCTCTCTTCCGTCTTCATGTCGCATTCTCACAACAACGTACATCACCACCGCCTCGGCTATAAAATGATTCCAAATGTATCTCCAAACTTTCCATTCCAAAACAGGATGATTTTCCTCGCGCAGGCCACAACGCTGCCTCACCGATAATCAGTCTAACGTCTTTCCCCCAACACAACGCACCCTGATAATGAAATGTATACGAGACGTCTTTCCGGTCCGGTGCAGCCAAAATGAGGGTGCGATGTGTTCGCGGGAAGTCCGCAGTGTCCAAATTCCATCTTCCGTTTCGACTGTGCCAGCCAGCCGCTCTCTCTCTTCTCCCCCCATACCCAGCTACTTCAGACACCAACACACTCCGTCCTCGCCTCGCTTCCGCTCACCTCTCACTCGTCTCGAATTCCAACTTCCGCTCGTCTAAGCGAGCCCACGGGCCGTTCCTGGTTTCCATTCACCTACCAATCCCCCTTCCAGTCGTGCCAACCAGCCGGTTTTTTTAACGCTCCTTTCGTATGTTGCTTGAACAACCTGACCACTATTTATATGCGTCATTCGTTGTCGACACAACCACCACTGGAGGAGGAAAGGGCGAGGAGGAAAGGACGAGGAGGAAAGGAGGAGGAATGGATAAACAAAGCACAACGACTCATACAGTGCAGGCAGACAAACCGGCTCGCACAGCTCATCCGCATGCATGCTCAAATTCTCTCCTCTCCACCTCTCTACTCTCCCCTTCTCTCCGCCTGCTACTCTCCCCTTCCCTCCGCCTGCTACTCTCCCCTTCTCTCCCCCTGCTACTCTCCCCTTCCCTCCGCCTGCTACTCTCCCCTTCTCTCCGCCTGCTACTCTCCCCTTCTCTCCGCCTGCTACTCTCCCCTTCTCTCCGCCTGTTGTCTCTTCCCGAACTCAGGCGGCCACAGTTTCCCACCGTCCAGAGAGGTACCGTTGGCATTCGGTCATAGCACGAGGGAAGAACGTCGCAGCCCGATGAATTTGTCACCCAGACGAGAGACAGAGAGAGAGAGCAGAGGAGAGACTCGACGGGAGAGTAAATAGACAAAGATACGTGCTAGGAGGAGACAGAAAGCATGCCAAGAGTTTGTCGCGCCCCATAGCCGACTCCCCTCTCCGTTCACTGAGCCCTATTCATTGCTCCGCGACGACGTACAGAACTCGGTCAACATTTCTCTCTCTCTCTCTCTCTCTCTCTCTCTCTCTCTCTCTCTCTCTCTCTCTCTCTCTCTCTCTCTTTGTGCTGTTTAGAGGTAAGAGGGAAATATCCAGTCCGCACCCTACCCTTCCATCATCTCTTCATGCGACAGTTGTCTGACATTCACAGGCACAGAGAGGCGGAGAGATGCATACCAACAAGCCAATACATAGGACTTAAAACACAATCGAAATAACGATCACAACAACAACAACATCATACACGCGAATCAAAAGATACATGCTTGTACAAGACAAAGAACGATACAATATTGTGCGAGTTAAAAGCATAAAATACGCGTGTCCTCTCCCATGTTGCTGCCAATGTCCACCTCCTAACACATCTACTCTCGCGTTCTCTCATCATGATAGCACTCAAATCAACCACAAAAGCTCCCAAGGCAGGAGGTAGCGGGAACACGTGGCGCTCCCATAATCTCACGTACAAGGGGATTCGACAGTTTCCTTGGCCCGCACACAAGTCCGGATTATATAGAATCCACTGCAGTAGGAATACGATACAGCAGTTCAGGAAAACTCCTAGGCGAGAGTAGGGGAAACCGAACCGGACAAGGGTCTCCAAAAATTCGCGTTTAAGTACACGAGGCGAGAAGCGAGGCCAAATCACAGAGAAGGAAATAGCGGAAGGGAATCTGTGAACAGGACAAGACGGAGGGAAGAGAACACGAGAACGCAGTGCAATGCCCTTTTTCCTAAATTACCTGAACTTTGTCAATGC